ATATATATATATATATATATATATATATATATATATATATATATATATATATATATATATATATATATATATATATATATATATATATATATATATATATGTATGTATAATGATGTTCATTGTGGATATTTAGGACACGTAACAATTGGATCAAAGCATTTTACATTCGACAGATTTGAGCGTCGGCGAGAAGATTCCTGTCAAAACGTACCATAAATCCAATCAGAAATGCACTGCAACTGATTAGATCTCGCAATCTAACACCACGATCCTGCAGCTCAACCCCCTTGAAACCTCTATAAACCTTCCGCTCTCTCTTCTTCTGAAACCTCTGACCCAAGCGTTCATGGAGGAGTTCCAGGAGCCTGACATCTTGTGGCCGGAGAACATATGCGACAAGGAAGCCAATTCGGCGTCTCGGAGTGCGAGGGAGGGGCGCGGAACTCAGAGGAAGCTATCCGATCCCATAAAGATCCCTTCGCGATCTGCATACGCCATCAGTGACAGCTGCAACGTTGAAGACGATAACAGGAGCAGTGATGGCAACGTGATTCCGCCGCATGTTATTGTAGCTCGTCGGATGACTGAGAAGATGGCGTTCTCAGTGTGCATTGGTAATGGCAGGACACTCAAAGGAAGGGATCTAAGTCGAGTCAGGAACTCCATCTTGCAGACGACAGGATTCCTAGAGACATGAAGACAAATGCAAAGAATAAGAACGCATTTAGAACTGCGACTGCTATATGGAGCTAAGTATCATTGCGGGATTCCCAGGCTATCTATGACCGATCCATAGGTCATGTAAGATAAGATTTCTGATGTGAAGTTTCCTAGTGATTCATTAGTCCACTTGAGTTTACCAAATCGATCGGTCTCCAGTGATGTTATTTCTGATAGCAATTTGTTGGGGAGCTGTGTGTTGTTTTGGTCATGAAATAAGATATGTTCCAACTCATCTCGAGCGGTGCAGAGACTCTGCTTCTGTGACTTTGCTGGGGGAGATTTATTCTCCTAATTCTGATGTTTTTATCTTGTTTCAATGAATCAACTTCGAAAAGATTACGAAGCAATTCATACTTGAAAATAATATATTCATCGAGCAGTACTTTGAACACTCACAGAAGGAACTCCAAAGCGACCTGCTTTCTCTTAAGCAACTTAACTTGATTGGTGGATCGGATTGGCCAAGAAATGATAGAACATGACCGATCTTGTGCTTCTCAAGAGCTATTATGGAATACCGTGTTTATCACAACACGATCCAGTAAGAAAAAAACTTCGATCGAAATATTAATCTGGTAGTTTCATAGTATATTTATACAATTCTACGAACCATCACAGTGTTAGGGAGAATGCGATAGAAGTTGTCGTGATCACGAGTCGAGCTGTTCCTCCACGGTGCACGACCATAGTCATCGCTAATCGTGCTCCCATCCGCACGGATCATGAGGCAACGTGAACGGCGATCTCGACGACGCAAACCATTCGCTTCCCGCTCGGCCCACCGGCTGCAACCGGTTGACGCAGCAGCGAGCGTTGCAATGGAAGCGGGAAACGTGACACCGAACGACGTAACAATGGCCGACAGGTAAAGAATTCACCACCGGGACCCGGATATCTCCGTATCACGAGGTGGTATCCAAACGGGTAATTACCAAATTAGTAGAAAAGCATTATTGCCTCCTAAGACCAATTAACGCCTCTCCAAATAATTGGGTCGATTAAGTAAGCTTCTTTCTTGATAGACGTAACCACTTCGAGCCTGCGACGCTCGACGACGAACACAGATGCCCTCGATCGGCGATTCCGCAGCGGAAACCCTAATCCACGACTTCTATCCCCGGGGTTCTCCAGCTTTCAAGAGGCAAGATCTCCGCCCCCTTGATCATTCCCGATCCTTATCCTCTTTTCGTTCCTTGATATCTTTCGATTCGCAGTAGCCAGGTTGGGAATCCGCAAGCAATTTGATCTTTCTTGACTTCTGCAACAGCCGCGTTCTTGCGGTTCAAGAATCGGAGTGGGTCACTATTACTTTGATGGATTTGGGTTTTGGAGGTCCTGATTCTTCCTTTCGGTGGTCGGCATTGGTTCCTTACAGGTTGGATGAGAGGGTTCTGCAAATGGAAACGAAGATAAGGGGGCGGGCGGCCAGCGAGGTGGGAGGCACAGTGTCGCATTGCTGGCTCAATCACCGCGGGTCTCGCCCCGCAAACCTTCGAAAACGTCACTTCTCTGATCAAGAATAGATCTGCAGGGAGGCGGAAGGTGGGCATGGTGCTCTTGCCCGTAGCCTCAGTTGCAGTGCGATCATCCTTTTCCGTCGTCGGTGAAGGTTTGGCCTCTCTTCCTTACTCCGGTGATTAATCGACTGGTCATATTCTCACGTCTCTGACTTGGGATTGCATCGTCATTTCTTGATATGCAGCATTCTTCTCGACATTTATAAGCTTCAATGGGATAACCAGCTCAACCATTCTGGTCTTTGTACGTGTCCACCAGTTGTATATAGGGCCTATTATATATAATAAGATGTGCTTCCCTATGTATATTTTATATGGAATTATAATGACCAAAGTTAGTGATGGGAGATTCATGTGTCAATTAGGTTGGTAGGGAGATTTTGGTAGATTACAACCCCTTGGAATGCCTACCTTGTGAAGTTTTTTCTTTCTCAATAGCAGCCTTTAAGAACGACAAGAATAGATTTACTTACACACACTTTACTCACCCAAAAGACTTGTGATTGGAAGATAGAAGACAACCACCGTTATTAAAAAGAAAGGGTAAATAATAATTAAAAAAACAAAATTAGCAATCCTCTAATTACAAGACTAAAAATAAATACTATTATCAAAAGAGAGAAGCACAAAAAAGCCATTCCATCAAACCTCTAATTAAATAGAAGAAAAAAAGAAAAAAAAAAGCACAGATGCGCTTCTTCCGTTTGTCAACCTGTCATCGACTTCCAGCCCTGTTTTCTTTTGCCTGTCTTCCCAACTTCATTCTCCATCTCTCTCTCTCTTCCCTCGTCTCTTTCAACCCACCCACCATCCTCGAGTTGCCTCCTCCCTCCTCTCCTCTGTTCCAGTTTCTCTCACCCTTCAACATTTATAAAACACAGGCAACAACAACCCCACAGAGAGAGAGAGAGAGAGAGAGAGAGAGAGAGAGAACAAATCATCGTCACAGCTTTGTTTTCCTGTGAAAGAAAAATATAAACAAAGACAGATAGGAAGAAGAAAGGCTTCTTTTTTTCTTCATTTAAAAGAGGCCTCGTCGCGGCGGTAATGGCTCGCCTCTTCAGATAGATAGGAGTCCTCGGCGACTTCAAGAAGGAGCCCGACGGCAACTCCTCCCTCCGCTTCTCCTCCGGCGACGCCATGACCGTCGCCACGGATCTCCCCTCCCCCTTCGGCCAGCTGGGCGTCTTTCTCTCCGACGCGGAGCTGCGCCAGACCGCCTACGAGATCTTCGTCGCCGCTTGCCGCGCCAATGGCGGCAAGCCCCTCACTTACACTCCCCAATCCGATCGAACTGTCGACCGCTCCCTGCCGCCGTCGCTAACCTCCGCGGCCGCCAGCAAGATGAAGAAGGCCTTCGGGATCAGGTCGCCGACGAAGAAGGGCAGCCTCGGCCAGGAGAGCATCCCGGTGAAGTCCTCCAAGAAGCCAGCGTCTGTGGGAGAGCTGATGAGGGTGCAGATGGGCATATCGGAGCAACTCGACGCACGGATTCGAAGGGGGTTGCTGCGGATTGCTGCCGGAAATGTGAGTCCATTTTTCAGGATTTCTAATTTAGTTCTGATATCTGATCCTGAATTTGTGGAAGAAAATTGCCGGTGCTTCATAGACTAACCCCACCCCTGGCAATCTATATTTGGTCTAGTAATTTTTTGACGATAGCTAATTGTGTTATAGTTGAAGGATTGGAAGATCATGTTGCAGTTATATGGTTGGTAATTGAATTTAGGCAGGTATTTTTAAAATATTTTCGGAAATCAAGTTTCTTTTTGTCTTTTAAATATATCACACTCTTCTGTTCTATCAGGTTTCTGCTAACCAACAAGTCCAAACCACCAGTGAGAACTCTGATATTGATTATTAGGTTTTGCTTGTACGTACCTGTAAAAGAAAATTCAAGAAGTGGTTGTCATTCGATCCATTATGTCCGTTTTCAAGAGTTTGATTCATGGGATTTATGAGTCCTGTAGATTTGGCAAACTTTAGTATGATCTGAATTATTACTTGTGGCATATCCTATTTTTAGATTTACATTTACTTACAAGGAAATTTTGCTTCCAGTTTAGGTTTGCTTCTGAAAGTACAAATACCATTGGTGATTTTACACTGTTTTTGTGACAAAAATTCTCCATTTTCAGCCCATCCTAATAAATTGTGATATTCCATTGGTTCTAATTCTTTAATGTAAAAAGAAATTTGGACCTCAAGTTCTTAAGTGGTTTTACTGTGACAAGGAGTTGGATGTCTTGATTAGTGACATTAAAGTAATTTCAATTCTTTTTATTGTTTCACAAAAAGAAAAAAAGATGTGTTAAATTGCTTTTCTTCGTTGTCCACGTTCAATATAATGTTTTGACATATTCTTCCTTCATCTGGTTAACAGCTTGGAAAGCGCATGGAGTCAATGGTTTTACCATTAGAGTTTCTGCAGCAGTTCAAGGCTTCAGATTTTCCTGATCAACAGGAATATAAAGACTGGCAGGCTAGGAATTTGAAGGTTCTTGAGGCTGGACTACTCCTCCATCCTCTTCTTCCGTTAGACAAGTCAGATGCTGCATCACAAAAGCTTCATCAAATTATGCATGGGGCTTCAGACGGGCCTATTGAGACAGGAAAAAACTCTGAATCAATGCAGATTCTACGCAGTGCTGTGACATCACTTGCTTACAGATTGTTGGATGGAATTGGCTCAGACGCATGCCACTGGGCAGATGGATTTCCACTAAATCTCCATCTGTACCAAATGCTGCTGGAAGCTTGTTTTAACAACAGCAGCGAGGAAGGATCAACAGTTGATGAATTCGATGAGGTTTTAGAGTTGATAAAGAAGACATGGGCCATCCTTGGAATAAATCAGATGTTTCATAATCTCTGCTTTACTTGGACCTTGTTTCTCAGATTTGTTACAACTGGAGAAGTTGAAGTTGGTCTGCTAATTGCAGCCGATGCTCAATTAACTGAAGTTGCAAGTGATGCAAAAGCAACACAAGACCCGACTTACTCGAAAATTTTAAGTTCAACATTAAGCTATATTATGGATTGGACAGAGAAAAAACTTTTTGCTTACCATGATATGTTTAATTCTAGCAACATTGAGTTGATGGAAACTGTTGTCTCATTTGGAGTAACAGCTGCAAAGATACTAGTCGAAGATTTTTCTACTGAATATCACCGTAAGAGGAGAGAAGAAACTGATGTAGCTCGTAGCAGAATTGATGCCTATATTCGATCATCGCTTCGTGCTGCCTTTGCTCAGGTAGGTTCTTTGAACTGTCAGATTAAGCTCATTTGGGAGCCTGCTTGCTCCTTTCCAGATTTGAGTAGATTTGTTAGTCATTTTGTTTGAGATTGGATCAGATTTGTTATAAGACTGCCAAATTTCTTTCTAGGGTCAACTTTTACATTTTGCTGATTACTCATGTTAGCTGTCAAATTTAATGTAATTTTGAAACCAGTGGTTTTGTATTGATGCAGAAAATGAAACAAACAGCCTCAAGCAAGCTATCATCAGAAGACCAGAGTACTCCATTGCTTTCCATCCTTGCAGAGGAGATTGAGGAGTTGGCAAACAAAGAAAAAGAGTTGTTCAGTCCGATATTGAAGAAATGGCATCCCCTTGCTGCGGGTGTTGCTGTTATGACTCTTCATTCTTGTTATGGAACTGAACTAAAGCAATTTTTATCTGGTGTCAAAGAGCTAGCACCAGATGTACTCCAAGTTCTTAGAGCTGCAGACAAGTTAGAGAAAGATCTCCTCGACATTGTTGTTGAAGATTCTGTTGATAGTGATGATGGGGGCAAGTCACTAATCAGAGAAATGCCACCTTACGAAGCTGAATCTGCTATTGCCGATCTTGTAAGAGCATGGATAAAGTCTAGACTAGATCAGCTAAAGGAATGGCTCGACCGGACCTTGCAGCAAGAGGTTTGATTCTTTCATATTGTGACTTTTGTTGTAGTTTTATACATATGTTAATGGCATTGTCCCATACATCATAGGGTTGCTGATTGAACTCTGAACTGGTATCTTTTCTGCTTTCCCTTTGCTTGATTTAATTATGAAAATTCTTGATTTGAAGCCATCTATGCTAGTTGCTTCCATTTTTTATTGTAAAATGTCAGCAAACCCTAACCAAGATATGTGGTTCTTGCCATTTATGACGTGCTGATTTTTCAGAAATGATAAAATTGTCAAACTAACATAGTAGATCTGATTGAAAGATCATAATTATCCTTTTTCTGCTTACACACTATTGCTGGATCATATGTTCTTTAGTTACCATTAGATGTTACTTAAAGACTTGCTATGGCTCACCTTTGTCATGTTTCTATCTATGACCGCCACTTTTTAACATGTTGCTACTGTTCCTACAGGCATGTTTTATGTCACTCAATCTTTCAAATCAAAAATCTGGCCAAAAAGACCAGATGACCGGAGATCTTTTCATCCTTCTTAAAACTCTTTTTTTTTCCAAAAAGAAAAAATTTTTTGAGCATTAGATTTATGCATTTCACGTGGTGGATGTTGGCATATCATTGAAGTTTCAAATGCACTGGAATTCTGTTAGATGTGTCTGGCTTTTCATATCCAATTTCCAGTAATCTTACTTGTTTATCTTCTCATTAGGTTTGGAACCCGAGGGCAAACAAAGAAAATCGTTCTCCTTCTTCAGTTGAGATACTGCGGATGGTTGATGAAACTTTAGATGAGTACTTTGATCTGCCTATACCCATGCATGCTGTCTTGCTTCCAGACTTGCTGAAAGGACTTGATAGGAGTCTACAACATTATGCATCTGAGGCCCAGTCAGGATGTGGTAGGTTTCCTCATCTTTTTATGCTGGATTGACAACTCTCCAACTAATCAATCATCATTTTCAGGTGCTCGAAATGATTTCATGCCTGCATTGCCTGAATTGACCAGATGTACAGTTAGTTCCAAGTTACGGAAGAAAAAGGACAAGCCACAGAACTCGACAAAAAGAAGATCACAAGTTGGATTGACAATTGGAGATTGTTCTTTGGGTTTGTCACAGTTTTGTGTACGCATTAATTCACTTTATCATATCCACAAAATGTTGGAGAACCTGGAAAAGAAAATAAAGTCCTGTCTGAGGAATCTTGAATCAGCTCAAGAAGATGTATCAAATGGCACACAGTCCAGTTTTGAACTTTCTCTAGCTGCTTGCCAAGAAGGAATTCCGCAGCTTTGTGAGACAACAGCCTACAGGATGATCTTTCATGACCTGGATCATGTTCTATGGAATTCTTTATACGTTGGTGAGGCAGCTTCTTCAAGAATAGATCCTTTTCTGAAAGAACTCGACCTTATTCTGGAGGTAGTATTGAACACAGTGCACATGAGAGTTCGGCATCAGCTGATAACTGAACTGATGAAAGCTTCTTTTGATGGGTTGTTGCTAGTGCTGCTTGCTGGTGGCCCATCGCGTGGTTTCTCTTGCCAAGATTCTCAGATTATTGAGGAGGATTTCAAATCTCTAAGAGAGTTATACTTGGCTGACAGAGATGGGTTGCCTGAAGAATTGTTTGACAAGGCTGCAGCAGAAGTGAACAAGGTGCTACCCCTTTTTCGCACTGACACTGAGACCCTCATTGAGAAGTTCAAACATATGATTGCAGAGACTTACGATCCTGCAGCCAAATCCAAATACCCAATACCACCAAATCCAGGGAACTGGGGCCCGACGGAGCCCAGCACGATTCTACATGTTCTGTGCCATAGGAATGATGTGGCTGCAACAAAGTTCCTGAAGAGAACCTACAACTTCCCCAAAAAGCTGTAACCTCTCGGCACCCTCCCTACTTGTTGCATGTTAATCCATTACCGGTTTTTGGAAGCACCAGACTGCTACTGTAGGACTTCACAACACAAGTCTGCTGATTGAATTGGTTGTATGATCAACGGTCTGCTGCTTGGGATGGTGACCATTTTGTCCATAATTCTGCAGGTTGTTTGGTCACCAGCTTCAGAAGCAACCTTTGGTTCAATGGCAGCTTTCATTAAAATACACTTTTTTTTTTCTCATATTTTCTTCATAAAGTGTTTTTTGCCACAGAAAAAATTAGAGAAAAATGATGCAATGTCTCAACTAACAGAATGACAATTTTCAGCTTCCAAGTCAGTAACTGTCTTATACAAGAAAATCCTTTAAAGATGATATGTGTGCTTCAGTCGTGCAATGCATTGCGTCTGTGACAAAAAACTGATTCGAGTGGTTTCTATATTCTAGTGGATCGTGTTGAAACTTACTGATCAGGCTGCATAGATGTTGATAGTATTGTGGACAAACAGATTGGATTGATGTAAATTAGGCACGGGACTTTGGTGTTCATCCAGCAAAAGCCAATTTAGGATGATTGAGGAGTCTTTAACAAAAGATTTAAGAAAAGGCCAATGGGAAAAAAATAATTTCCCGATGGGCTTCATTAAAAAATTCTCATCTTAGTTGTAACAGATGACGCTTCATTGATCGATCACTAGAATCTCCTATAGAGAGGAATTGAGGAGTCGTTTTGGTATTATCAATCTTCTTATAGGTTCTGCAAGTAAGAAATAATTATGGTAGCCATCTTTGTTTAGAACCTTCACCTGCCTGCCAGCAAATTCTTAAGGTAGTCCGCCTTTGTAGCTCCTGAAAACATACGATACCAAGCAATGATGGATAAGCATTGCAATGTTAGGCAAACAACGAACAGTAAGTTTTGGGTGAGCGGCTAATTATGGATTATCCTTTTCGAGTTATACTTATTTCGATATGAAGATTTTAACATTTTATATTAAAATCTCTATAATTATAAAAGTAAAATATTTAACCTTATTTACTCTAAAGTTTTTTGTTTTACTAATGAAATATATAACATGTGACAATGCATAAATAATACGAAAATGATAGGTAAAAGAATAATTTCGATAATGCTAACTATTGTGATGGTGTCGTAAATGATTATTATGATGGTGGTTGATGAGAACGATGTGATGATCGACCTTACCGATGTCGATCTGAACATCAACGAAGAGGAAGAGAAGGCAGAACAGTGAGATATCTACGTTAGAGGAAGAGGAGGTAGGTGAGGCATTTGTATTGACGCTGCATTGCTCTACCTCACTTGTCTCCTCTTCGTCCTCTAACGCCAATGTAGATACCTTACTGTTTTGTTTTCTCTTCTTTCTCGTCGTCGATGTTTGGATCGATATTAGCAAGACCAACCACCATGTTGTTCTCATTGACCATCACTACAATAGTTACCCACAGTATCATCGTCTATCATCATCATTAAAATTATATTTTTACCTATTATTTTTAGATTATTTATACACATGTTATCACGTGTTATATATTCAATGATAAAACTAATGTTAGAATAAATAAAAATAAATATTTTATTTTTTTTTATAAAATTTATAAAAATATTAATATAAATTTTTGAAGTTTAAAAATCAAGACGATAAAGAGATATGTAGCATATAGTTGGCTCGCAATGCATCGGTAAGTGTCGTGGTAAGAGTCCACTGGTCGCAATGGACCGAGGCTGGCAAATCATCGCTACACCTGGCAATGGTCTTCGTGATTGCAAATATCAGCTGTAAACATAGAAGCGAATGAATGAATTAAGCGTCGCATTCAAAGACAACGCAAAATTTTATATTACATCATTTTCTCACTTCACCGCGCATTGGTATTCTCACCTTCGCCGCCGACGACAGCTACTTCCCGGTCGCGTGTTCTCTCATCCATAAGTCGTCTACCTGACGCGTGGCAGAACAACCGGTAGTGGCGGATTGCCCGGCCAAGGCTGCGACAGACAACGAACGAGGCTACAGGAACGGTTCCCACAACCCTGGCATTAAAATGATAGACCGCAGCACTCACCGTGGGATGTGGAATGAATACAAAGCACGCGATCAGCGTCATGGTCTTGCCTTGAGATGCGTGATCTTTTAAACTCAAATGGTGGATAAGCTTGTACTGAAGAATCTTGTCAATGGGCCTCGGAGACCGGAAATAATGATGATCTTTCAGAATGTACACATTCGTCAAATTGAAGTTGCTGAGATTTTACATGAGAACTGCAGAGCCATGATGCACGATAAGCACAAACATTGATGTAAAGATGAGATCAGTTGAGCTAGCTTTTCCTTGCAACCAAGAGTTCTCTCATAAGATGCCACAGCATCGATGCACTGTTTCATGCAGTAATCAACCGGTGACGTACCTTCTGATGCATGGAAATGTGAGATCCTTCTTCTGAATGATCGTCGAGTATCACTGCACACAACATGACAAAAAAAATATTATTAACTTCGGTATTATGATTCAAGAATTAGGAAAAACGATCAAATGGCATACAGTTGAACATGCAAATCCATTGCAGGACAGTGCTGCTCATTTTCTGGATTGTGACAAGGGAGCTATACGTTAGTGATACATTATAACACTCATGATACAAACAGATAGGGTTTACATTTTACATCAAGACGCATTACCAGTACTTCAAATCCTGTCCATGATCAAATTGCTTTTGTTACCCTCAGCCATTCCTAGGCAGTCAGTCCTATGAAACAAATTCCGGTGAAATGACATCAGACTACTACATCAGATACATGGAAAGAACATCTACAACAGAACTTCAAAGAGGAAAAGAAAGGCTTAAGAGCCAAAGTAATCAATGTAGATAGATGTTCATCCAAGTCCAATTTATATCCCAAACATCAGGTCCATGACTTTTGATACAACTGATTTTGCTGGAGTTGCAATAGATCCTGTTGCTCGGTTGAAGCTACCAGTAGTGACATTTGAGCTGGTCTTTGGTTGATAGGAGCGAGCAACGATTCCTGATGAATTAGAAGTTGCTGAGCTATTTAAAGCAGCTGATTTTGAGGGTAATGAAACCATGAAGCCTCCATGATTGCTTCTGTTTATTTTTTCCTTAAGAAGCTGACGATGCACTGGATCTACAGGTTTCACCCCAACAATCAACAGACTGTTTAGCCGCATACCATTTTTCTTGAGAGCCTTTTGAGCATCATACGGGTTCTGCATGATAAGAGGATAAGAAATTTATTTGTGATAAGAGATGCAACAAGTGACGGGGAAACATCACCCATTCTATAGCAGTTACATCCAAAACTGGTGACAAACATGAGACAAAATATTCTACTATAGGACAACAGAACGACAAGGGATTGCCACTAATGCACTGATAATATAATGATTGAAAACACCAGTGCAACTATTTCAGGAACCCATTTAACATGCAAATTTGTTGACAACTTTGTCAATCTGACATACTCTGAAGATGAACGAAGATCACTAATAATCCTTGTCTTAGGTTCATTGCAACAAAAAGAAAATTCTACAATTGTTATTCAACTAACAATAAAATTGAAGACCAAATACGTCTTACTCTACCCAATGAAGCCGACTTTCAGTCACAAGTACATTAGAATGGTCAACTATGCAGCAGTTTGCAAAGAAAATAATTTTAAATAGTCAATTGTTCTTAGTGGAAAATTAGAGTCAAACAAAATTCTTATCTTTACAAGTTGAAAGATAAAGAATAAACAGAAATTAGTTACCTGGTACAAAATGTGTATCCAGTTAGCATCACTTGGTCCAGGTACATGTTTTACTATGACACCACATTTTTCAAACTCACGTAGCACCAAGTTGGTGTGATCAGGGGAAAATCTGAAAAAGCCATGATTAATATAATTCATGCATTAGATGTAAGAATTAATATCCAAAAACTATAGAAGTATTTCTCAATTAGATGCCCTAAAATAAATCTTGAACAGAATTTGAGAATCATTGTCTAGACATGTATTCTGAATGAACCTACATGATGATATTCCCAATGTTTAATGTATCTATAATACTGAAGTGTTGAAGTATCTTTAAAAAAAAATCCACTTATCCAACTCAAGAAGAAACCACCAATATGGACATCCAAACAACATAAGAAAAAGCTAGATGAAACATAAGCTGATCATGTTAACTAAATGTTCTAGAGGGATTAAGGTTTACAGATTCTGATTCAAAACCAGTAAAGAAAAAAATACTGGTGAAAACAAAGAAAAGAGTTAATATTGTTTGAAATGTCTTGTGGGCAACGTACTGTCTACACATTTGTATGAGGCAGATCATAATGTTCTCCAATTCCATAATGAGGTAGCAAACAAAGCATATTTAATGAAAGATATAGTTAGTCAATTACAGGACAAACGTGTAAAAGAATGATATTGAATACCATTGTAAAATTTGCACAAACCAATTAAGGTAAGAAAATCTACCCTCCATTTAAAACAAACAGTGAAAGCTAGTAGCATAAATACACATGGATGAATTTCAAGTGAAGTGCAGCCTTAATAGCAAAATACTAGATATACTGTAAATAACTAACCTTGAAATATAGACCTGTGAACTTTTCAACATTGGTCTAGACATATAAGCAAATCAACAGAATGATAATCAATAAGAAAGGCTACAAAGTGCATCAAAAGCACCTAAAGTGAAAATTTCAGGATAACCTTCAATATTGACAAAAAATAATACATACAACAGAACATACAACTTAAATTTAAAACTTAAGGGAACTTCAAAAAATAATACACAAAGAAAGCTCTACACTACTTCTTTTCCCCCAGGAAAAAGCCCTATGCATGCAATATTGAACAATGCACAAGGCTGCCACCACCATTTAACACCATCAAAATGCTAAAGACACTTTGGACATAAAGATCTAGTTCCAAGATCCCTAGACACATCAATATATAAAAACTATCAATCTATGCATTTTTTTTCACTATCAATCTAAACATTTTTTTCAGTAGGTAATTACTGATCAATAAATTCTGCAAATGGAATAATGCATGAGGTTCCCACCAATGTGGGGTTGGGAAGAGTCAGTATACATAAAGGCTGCCACCACTATTTAACATCATCTAAATCCTAAAGACACTCTGGACATATAGATCTAGTTCAAGATCCCTACACAAGCCAATATATCAAAACTATCAATCTAAGCATTTTTTTTTCAGTAGGTAATTACTTATGAATAAATTCTGCAAATGGAATAGTGCATGAGGTTCCGACCAATGTGGAATGGGAAGAGTCGGTGTACATATTCTTATCCAACCTTAAAATTGTGCAACTGCACAGTATGCAGCAGGTATACAGTAAAAATACATACTCCAAAAGACCACACAACTCCCAACTGACACCAACCTTCACCACCAATTGAATCGAGAATCAAATGGTGGCACTCTAAATGATATTATTCTACTCCAGAATTTAAAATTAACAACACAAATCATCACCCACAACTTGCTAAAAGAAAGAAACACCCTTCACCATGAATAATCACAACCAACTTGCAGAACAACAAGAAGCTACCACTCCAAACACCAAGTATTAAGTGTCAATGCTGCAATCTCAATAAACAACAAAAACTCATATCTCAGAGAAAGATTTCGAATCTCTATCTGGTAGTAGTTTCAGTAATCTAATAGATTGGTATGATATCAGTATACTATATAGTATACCAATCCAAAACCATCCTATATCAATAAAAAGATATTAAAAAATTGAATACCAACCGTTAATACAATACCAGTCCTTATCGAACTGATAAATGTCAATCAGTACAATGCACGTTAACCAGTAGTTGAAATCACACTTCAAACATCATAAATAGACTCACCACTTGAGACCATCATCAAAGTTATCGACAAACTTCAACCTGACAGCTTGTTTATCGGTAATCTCATTATTAAACAACCTACTACTTTCTTTAAATCCAAACATTACACACCGCAGCAGCATATTGTCTTTCTCAACTCGAAAGCATCAGAATTCCCTGAACAATTCCTCAAAGACCAGGACAATTCCTGTTGAAAATCCTTATGCTCCCTGCTAATGCTGCACTGGCTCAGCATCACTTCCCCATACGCTACTGAAAATTTAAAGAACAAATGACCAATATTTCCTGGTTCTGATGACATGAGACGGAGCAGCAACGTTGCAAAATTTTGCCTCACCAACCTAACTTGACCTAGTAATCTGCCATGTACTAATAACTGATATGCATGCTTAGCTTCCTGTTTTTATCCCAGACCACATTTAACCAGTAAACTTTTTACCCTTATCAGTGCTTCGAGTTAGATCTAATCAATCTGAGGTTATTAGATTCATACATACAATTAGTTTAATAGAAAGTGCAGAAGACTTAACAGCAAACCATAACAAAGGAGAAGCAAGAATCGAGTGCATACCCAAAAACAGTAACCCACTCGTCTGCATCAAGCCCTCCATTCTGCACGCCATATCCTTGTGGCTCTGGCCTCGCGATCTCTCTCGATAGCGGGGGTGGGAGTACCATCAACGCACCGGACTCGACAACCCCATCCACCGGAGAACCCTGGCCCATCTCTCGCTCTCCTCCGTCGGCCTTCGGCGAGGCCATCCAGATGGAACCCTCAGGGCTCTGCCCTCGGCCGTTAGCGACGCCAGAACCAATCACCTCAGCCCTGGTTCTCAAGACGAAGGAAGACGACGAGAGGGACGGAGAAGGGGAGGGATATCCCTTCTGATTCGGCCGGGGGGGAGGCGTCCGGCTCCGGGTGCTGGTCGGGGACACCGGCGAGGGCGGCGGCAGCTCGCCGAGGCCGACCTCCGGCGAGAGATCAGCGCGGTCATCGAGGGTGAAGACGGGAGGCGGAGGGGGATCCGCGGATGATCCGGCGAGGTTCTCCTTCCAGAGGGCGGAGACGGCGGCGGCTTGGCCGGGGGTGGCGAAGCGACCGACGGGGCGGTGGTGAGGGGAGATCGGCGAGGCGAGATCGCGGAAGAAGGGAGACAGCCGCGTTGGCTTGGAACTTCGCGGCATCGGGGAGCTCATGGTCTTCGATCAATCGCTATCCTCTCCTCTTCCACTTCCTGTTCCTCTTCTGCTCTCCAACCCTAAACCCTAAATAGTTGGACGAAAATAATGGTGGGGAAATTTCAAACAACTGAGCCCCTTTGGAAATACCGCGGTTTTGGGGAAATTGTTACGTGTCAAAAGAACATAAATATCAATTCCTTCCCCGTACATGGGAGTTCGGAACGCGGGCCAAGGTGTTTGGTAGTGGGCCAGTTTGGGCCTGACGCTCTCAAGTGCGATCCGGCCCGCTTAAGCATGGAAAGCGAAATAGTGTGTACAGGGGCTGAGACGGACAGCCATGTGACGTCATGTCCTTGTCTCTCAAATGGTATGGTCATGCATACCCATTAAAGGCCGCCTCCCTGCATTGCTTTTTCCATGTCGTGCTCTTTAAGTTGATACAGATCTAAAAAGGTCAGAGAAGACGAGGAGACTTGGGTCACCAGAAGCTGAGAATTCGCGACTTTACCCTGAGAACATCACTGTAGGGGCAGTTTCGGGAGGTAGGGGATGGGTTGCGCTGGGCCATTGGTTATCCGAGGGCGTAAAGGACGCGCTCGTAACGAGTGAAAGACGGATTTACCCCCATATCTTTGGGATTAGGACGAGCTACGCCGTACGAGTTGTTTTCATGCGTTAACAGCCGTCAAGATAGAGGAAAGAGCAGAGACGAGGAGGACCGGAGACCATCTCACGGCAACCATTAGTGTTTGCAGGAGTTAGCAAAAGTATTTTTTGATTCGTTGAGTCAGAATCCTTGGAGTATAGGATTTATCCTAGTAATACTAAAAAGGAATTCTTGGTGAAGGAAAAAATCCCTAAAAACTAAGGTTTGTTATTATTATTATTATTATTATTATTATTATTATTATTATTATTATTATTATTATTATTATTATTATACTTTATGCACATCTGGAGAGCATTTGTGATAAAAGAAAACTTTGGATATTCATGCGATGCGAGAGCTCTAATGAATTTACAGAGGATCGAGAGCAAAAATAAAAAAAGAAATTTCAAAAAGAATTTTGTAATTTTAATTCAAGGGTGCTACCTTCCACGGTGAAAATTTTGGTTAGGTTTCCAATGTTGAATCACGTAAATCTTCTATCAACACTTTTACATCTGAGATTTCACTTTTGACTTCCCAACACTATATATATATTTTATGTGTTCTTGTTTCCCATGGTCGTGGGCAAGAATGAGCACCTCAAACACCCAGGTTTTCTGATGATATCTAACTGAGAGGGGTTCTGTGATGCAGCATGAACAGCCTTTAGGCTAAAATCTAAAATGAAATCTAGATCTCACGAGAAAGAGAAATTTAAATTTCAGCACATTGTTTGCCACATGATTCATCAATGCTCCCTGGGCTTAAAGCTACCACAACAACTTGAGGAAACTAAATGCAGCTGTAAGTATCCTTAATACTCATCCCTCTTTGATTCTTCTTCTTCTACTTCTCCTTCTTCCTGTTACCGATACAATTTGCATGACTGATGGAGATCAGGAAAATATCCAGTTGCAAACGGAGGAAAAAGACCATGAACCTAAAAGGTGAGCCCGGAGAAAAAAGCTTCCATGGCTGAAAACCTCAGCCCGCGGCTCGTGAGCAGATCACGGGCATCGATCTCGACAAGTTTAACATTCCATACACTTTTGATGATAAATTCTTTTCATCTCCAATGTTTGGTTCTCCCACATAGGTGGTGCAGGCCAGTGTCTGAACTCACACGCCCTGCCACAGTGCCTCCTTGCAACCTCGGCCGCCGGTTGCTGCAATTTGGTATTTAATGACGAAGCGAGCCTTCCGTAACCATAAATAAGATCCATCTTTATTTCGCTTTAGCAGAAGGTCATTCACGTACGTCGAAGCAAAAGGCCTAATCTGAACACTGTGTAACCTTTTCGAGATGACCATCCCACCACCTTGGAGGTTCTTCCCCCCTTGTACATTCGTAAACTATCTTGCTTTTCGCATCTATAAGAAGAGGCAAGGCAGCCCCACGCCATCTTACTAAGTAGTACAGCATCCGAAGCTTCCCTTGTTTCGAGTCTCAAGTGGACATGCAGTACTCCAAGCTTTCTGGTGGAGAGCAAGAGCCACGCCTGATCCACTCTAAGGTAATCATCACTCTATCACTTTGCTGTTGTCGTCGTAGTTGCTGCTGCTGCTGCTTCATTACTGATCATTTTGTATCCAAGTTTGAGTTGGACGATGATGGATTTCCACAATTTATGATCCACTGTAATAAGATTATTTCCATGACTTCAATCATCATCCACTTGCAATCAATCTAGACATCCAGTTGTTACAATTTGCTATTTAATGGCGAAGCAAGTGCTTAACTAAAAGATACATCTTTATCTATCTTTTGCAGTAGGCTGCTCATATAGCATCAAAACCTGTGATCCATATCTGTGCTTCTTGTTCTTATTAACACCCCATCATCTTCTCGGAGGTTATCCTGCCCTCGAAACCCAAAACTATCCATATCTTAGCATTTCCCTTCCACCCCAAGGATGGTAGAATAGAAGTCTGTTGTTTCGTGTTGCAAGGCAGTCCGATCTTTTACAGAGCAAGAAGCAGGTCTCATCCTTAATTTGCAAGGTAAACTATCATTATTACCATCATTTTTCGAGAAAAAAGACACACCGGCATGAGGAGGCAAGACCTACTAATGTCAAGGTGGGGTGAAGTACTCTCATAGTGATATCTTTTCCGTTCTTCCATTCTCTGCTGCTACGCATGCGCGTATGCATGCTCCCCTATGTTTGATCTCGAAAACCATCATCGGTATCTATCGGTTAGCGCATGGGCCACCTACTTTAAGATCTGTGCATTCAAGTCTTTCTTTTGATTTCCTTACGTAAAGAAAGTCTCCGTACTGTTTCATCATTCCTATTCTTCTTATTGACGTAACAGCTGACACAACAGAAGGATGAAGCGCTTCTAAGGGTGTCATCGGACGTGTCGATCATGAACACCAACAAGATCGTGGAGGAGCTGAAGGAGCAGGCGAACGGTAGCGACGTGCAGAGCGTGGAGTGCGAGTGCTGCGGGATCTCCGAGGACTGCACTCCGAGGTACATCAAACGGATCAAGGAGTTCTTCCACGGCATATGGATCTGCGGGCTGTGCTCGGAGGCGGTCAAGGAGCAGATGAAGCGGACGCCGGCGGTCACAAAGGAACAAGCCCTGGAGACGCACATGTCCCTCTGCAAGAAGTTCAACCGGACCACCCGGCTCAACCCCAAGCTCTCCCTGGCCGTCTCCATGAGGGATATAGCGAGGAAGAGCTCCGAGCGCAGGACCATCAAGGACGTGCCGGGGTCCAAGATCGTGAGGGCGATGAGCTGCGGTCCCAGATTGGATGTCAACATCAAGCAGTCGCAGGTCCAGTGATCGATATTTCCACGTCTCATCTGCTTCCCTTACGTTGAGAGATCGGTGATGCGTTTCATTGCGTGGGGGAGGTGGCTGAGTACTGTAATATACTACGGTAGTAGGTGTGTTTCTTGATACCATGTCTGCAGTCGGCGGTGTTTGTTGTGTCACAGCAGTTTGCACGCCAAGTCTGCGGACATGTATCAGCAGATGCTTCCTTAGTGCAGCTTCTAAGTGTACTAAGTTGATGGATTAATGCATGGTTTGGTTTGATATATGTACTGCCAATGAGGGGAGCGGGTCAGGTACTTCGTGAATCACGCACACAACGACATGGAAGTGCCTCTCGACCTACGGTCCCTCGCTTTTGGAGAGTGCATGCTTATGCGTGCTTGTTTCATTTTCGATGACATAATTATTTGAATTTTTTTATGACGTATAGGAAAATTTGCGATGATTTATGGACTTAAAACCCTGCTTGAGAGAATAATTTACCAACCTAAGCCGATATCTGACCTTGTGATGGTTTTGAAAGGAAAAAAACATAAACTTTAGCTTCGTTCATGAATAATTTTTTACTAACAATAAATCATTAACTTAAAATACTTGAAATTAAATTAATAATAACACACTTATTAAATTTGTATAAGACTTCATAAATCTTAAACCATTTCTAGAATTAAATAGAGATATTACAACGCCACAAAAAATATTACTACCTCAAATTCTTGATCAGATATCATATTAATGATATGATGTGACACATAAGTTTATTCGATTTTAAATCTCTTATGTTCATTAATATGGTATAGACTTTGAACGTATATGAACGACTCAATGTATACACTTTTATATATGATACGAAGGATATTATCAATCAATCATCATTCGACATATGTCCTCCATGTGACATCCAAGTTAGAAGAAGGAGACAAATGTTGTCCCCCACCTGCCCGTATGGACATCGGTCCAAGACAGGTGGGAATAAGTTGTCTCCACCCTCGTCTCTTTCGTGGACAAAAAACTAAATTAAGATTGTTAGAGACGGTTAAAAGCTATTCCCTCAAAGAATATTCCATAGAATATATTGTTCCTTCACTACTAAGTATAAAAGTTTATTTTTCACATAGTTAAGAGGTTTTTTTTTACTATTGATGACTACACTCACCCACCTCGAGCTTCTAACTGCTAGTTATAGATATCTTGCAAGTCAATCATGTGAGTGATAGCATAGTGGCATGATATGCACTCTTTTTACTTATTATATTATTTGATATTTTATCACTTTATATTGCTTCTTGTATGTATATATTATGATATCCATGGATCTATGCAATATGAACCGGATCGTGATGAGATCACGATAATGAGACTGATTTACCTTTAAACATAAATCCTAAATAATCTTGGTCATATATTACTTATGAGGGATATCAAGATAACCAGAATAGACTGGTGTACTGTATACACATTCATATGATGGAGGTAGTTAGTCTCATAGTTGCTCGTGTGAGGACACTAGAGATACAGTGCAGGTACTCATTGGAGAATGAGTTCACTGATTGATCCGCTCATGGAATGCTGGATGGTTGATGATGCCTTATTATCAAATAGTGATTCTGTCATCCTAGCAGTGTATCTGGTCATTAAACTTGAGATAATAAGGATATCTTGTATGAGTACTCTACTATTTGATACCGAACTTATAAGTTTTAAAGTTCTAGATCTAACACAACCGATCATCGGGAGTGATAACCAACCTTACGAGGGCTATTGAGTGTCGATAGAGGATCATCCTCTCTCGGTGTCATGAGAGGAATATCTCATGTATTCTTATTTAGGCAAATCCTTGGCTAGGGTCATTCGAATTGAGAGAGAATGAGTTCTCCAAGAGAATCCGATTAAAGCGAGACTCGAGTAGAAACCGTATGAGCCTGATAATACCATGTCTAGTATACGATCTTTGGGATATTAGATGGATGAGAGACTATAAATACATGATAATTGAGGACAAACAGATCCAATAGATTAGATTCCCCTGTATCGTCTATGGACTATGGTATAATGACATAGTACATCCGTAGTCGATGAGTTGAGTAGATGTTGTATCTCATAATGGATGTTGTATCAATCAAGCCCTAATAGTCTTTATTAGTCCCAAAAGACTTTAAGCTAAAAATTTAAATTCTCAAATTTTTGAGATACAAGTGATACTACCACTAACATGATGGTATTACCATCGTAAATTCTAACATCGTTAATATAGACTTAGACTATACTATATCGTAAAATTTGAATTTTGGGTGGTACTACTGATACTCTATGTGGTACAATCATCATCACAAGTAGTACCATCATTGAAAAAGTTGACAGAGTACAAACAATACATGTCAACTAACTTAGGCAATACTACTGCCTAGGCTTGATAGTACCACCACCTAGGCCTACTTTAGGCTATCAGTTTGGCTTTTTAACAAGCCCAATTCAGCTCGACTTTAAGTTCAATGACTTTCTTAATAAGTGGGCTTTATTTCAACCCAATACTTATTTAAATTGAACCAAAATATCCTCAATTAAGATCCTGACAAATCAACCATGTATTCGACATATTTATAAAGCTTTTGGTATATTGTATGCTCTTTTAGCATATCGTTTAATCTTTCGATACTTCGTTCAAACCTTTTGCATATCGTCCTTTCCATTGGTATATCACTTATTCCATCGATATATCGACTTTTTTATGATATCTAATCTTTCACAAAATATCTAATCTTTTCAGCATGATGCCTAAACTTTTAATATAAAATTTGATCTTCAACATGCCGATTAATCCTTTGGCTTAACGTCTAACTTTTGACATAATGTTCGACTCTTTTATTCAATAATTAGTCCTTTTATGGTTCAATTCTATAATCGAAGTATTTTCTTACTTCATTTATCTAAAAATATATTAATTTCATAAATTCATTAATTGATTTCATTATCAAATTTTGAGATTTAACAAGAAAGACATCCTAACTTGTAAAAGCGAAAAAAATTCTTTGGTATCGGAGCGTTGAAAGGTCGAGATATTAGAGAGTCGATATACCTAGAGGACTAGAAGCCCGAGAATCAACCCACCTTAAAAAAATAGATGAAGGACCAAGTTGCATTGAAGGAAAAATCAAGGCTAAGAAGAAGCTCGTATGGAGGACCATAGAGGCCTAAATACGAGAATGAGCCTCACCCCATAACTAGAGGGGATTTATAGGGAATGGATCAATCTCTTTCTTTTATATTGAAGACAAGTGTTTCTTCAGGTCAAATTCAAATATATACTAATTGATGAAGGACTATCTTGGAAAGTGTAAAAGTGATCAATGTGTGAAGACCACCTCAAAAGAAACTCATCGCGATGGGAAGCACGAGGCAAAATACGTGCCTAAGAAGCATTAGCCGATAAAGCCCAACTTACATAGAAAGAAACCTACCGTGATGGGAGACATAAGGAAAAATATGTTTGAGATATATAAGTTCGGAAAACTCTACTCGCATAAGAAGAAATCCGCCATGATAGGAGGCATAAGGTAAAATATAATTGAGACGTATGAGTCAGCAAAACTCAACCCACCTGAAGAGAGCCATTAAAGCATAAGTCAGACCAGATTGAGAAAGCCTAACACATCTAAAATGAGGCTTGCTCGAGACATAGAGGTTGAGATAACTCAACTCCCTCGATGCTAGCTTGAAGTGGAGTGGTCGAGCACCAACTCCCCTTACCACTCGAGGTAGGTGTGTCAAGCACCAACCCCCCTTCTTTACCCGAGATAGGTGGGTCGGGTGTCAACCTCCTCCACCGACCATAGAGGAGTAGTTGAGTGTCGACCTCTCCTTCCACTCGAGGTGGGTGGGCTAGTCAACGCATATCCATTGCCTCACTACTCAAGGCGGGGAAGATGAGTTCTTAGTCCCTTTTTGGGTATACCCAAGGTATGTTAGTCGGAAACCCCCTACTCCCCCTCAAAGAAGTAATCAAAGAAGTATAAAATTGATATGTCGAATAGGTCAGATATTATGCTTTAAGACCCTGACCAAAAAGCCTCAAAAGGACACCTTCAAGAGGAGACAAATGATAGTGAGGATATTATTAATAAACTATTATTTGACATATGTCCTCCATGTGGCATATATGCTAGAAGAAAGGAGACAAAACCTACCCTCCATCGATCTACTCTTGTGGATATCGGTTCAAGACATGCAATTATAGGTTGTCTCTAACTTTGTTACTTATGTGGACAAAAAGCTAAATTAAAATTGTCAAAGGTTATTAAAGACTATCTTTTTACTACACTCACTTACCTCAAGTTATTAAAGAGTCTAGCTCGGGAAACCTCTCCTAACCTCAATCTTCATACATGTGGCATTTTAGAAGATCTCCTTGAGAGTTTGATATTTTCATCTCGAAGACACTTCAAACAATCATCTTGGGAGCTCGACGTTTTTACCGTGGAAGTATCTCAGATAACCTTACATAGATGGGCTTAAACCACATTGATTTGATTTGGATGATATTTTTCTGTAACAATAGGATTACATAGTTTTTAAAAAGATAATTTTAGAAAAGACATATGATAATTTCATTCCAGAAATGATATATATATTTTTATCTTAATTAGATTTGAAGTATGAATTTCAAAAATTACTAATATGATTCATGTTATTTGGAGAATAAATATTAAAAAATAAGAAATTCAAGTATGAGGATATTTTATATCTCTGATGAAGGTAAAATATAAAAAGAAATATTTGAATATCCAAAGTCCACAATCGAGAAGAATGAGGTGGCTTTCTTGAGATCGATCATATCCCATAACCGAAGAAGACATCCTATGGATCTATAATAAAAAAAAAAAGAAGGGAAAGAATATAGATAGTTGGGGGTATATTAGACAAAAAAAAAGAAAAAAAGAAAGGGAGACTCTAAAAATTCTGAAAACGGGGATGCTTCTCGCAAAAAACTTTTTTAAAAAATTCTTCCT